ATTCTTCTGCAATTCAACATCCTTCTGTCAGCAAGAAGGTGAGTTCACGTGGGAACTTGAATACAGGGGGTAGTGAGTGGAAGAATCCTCTTTGGGCATTAAAATAGGTATGTTAATGATGGGAGGAGGACTTACTATAGTGAAGATATTGGCCTTAGAAGATGTTCTAAAGGATAGACCAAAAAGAGATGGAACTCATGGCCTCTCGAGAAAAAGAGCGGAACAGTTATGCAATTAAAGCATGTCTAGGTGACCTCTGTTGGAAATATAGACCAACAATGGGCAGACTGGATGAGGCTAGACAGAGATTGTTGCATCTACAATTAGAGAACCAGTTCCCAGGTGTTGAGAATTGTTAGGATTAATAGCCTTGTTTAGCATTAGAAGCTAAAGCAGTTGAAGCCTTAGGCCACAAGAACTGGCCAAGAGTAAACTTTTTGATACAGCTAACGTTGCAAACACAGAACTAGCTGAAACCAGCTGGTAGAAGCAGAACAAAGAATACAATCAAGAAAACAATGAATGGGCTGACTTCAGAAGAAGGCTAGCCAAGAAAACCAATAAGAAATCAAGAGGCCATTGGCCTGAATTAAGTGATTGGACTTGGGGATCAGGTGATAGGTGTTACAGGTATAATAGGGGTGCACGATCTGTTTGCATGTTTATTTTATTTCTTAATGAGTTCATTGAAAAAAAGTTTAAATCACAGAATGCGTTGTCCTGTAAATTTGAGAGATCCAAAGGCACTGTGACACATAGAGCTCCTCTAATTGAGCAGAACCTTCTACTTGCTCAGTTACTGCAAGTTCATCAGATACAGATACAGTAGCAGCCATTCCTTGCCATTTACCCTGTATTTTATGAGAACTTGCTTGGGGATTGTATTCAGGAGCATTGGGGATAGGAGAGAATCACAGAAGTCTGTATTCAGTAGGCATTCCTATATAGGTCAAGATTAAAGGGAGGGCAGGGACAGGTGATGTTACAGGCCACCTGACCAGGAAGACCAAGTGGACAAGGCCCTCTATAGACAGGTAGGAGCAGCCTCAGATTTGCAAGCCCTCATCCTCATGAGGGACTGCAGCCACCCTGGTATCTGTTGGAAGGACAGCAGGGCAGGGCATAAGCAATCCAGGCATTTCCTGGACTGCATCGACAATGACTTCCTTGTCCAAGTGGTAGAGGAACCAACAAGGAGAGGTACCATGCTGGACCTTGTTCTCACCAACAAGGAGGAGCTGGTGGGGAGTGTCACACTCAAGGGCAACCTTGGCTGCAGTGACCATGAGATGGTGGAGTTCAAGATGCTCGGGACGGCAAGGAGGACACAGAGTAAGCTCACTAACCTTGGACTTCAGGAGAGCAGACTTTAGCCTCTTCAGAGATCTGCTTGCTGTACTACAGTGGGATAAAGCCCTGGAAGGAAGAGGGGCTCAAGAAAGCTGGTTAATATTCCAGAACTGCCTCCTCCAAGCTCAGGAGTGATGCATCCCAACAAAAAAATCCAGGAAGTGTGCGTGGATGAACAAGAAGCTCCCGGACAATCTCAGACAGGAAAGGGAAGCCTACAGAGGGCGGAAACAAGGACAGGTAGCCCATAAGTAATCCAAAGAAATTGTCTGAGCAGCCAAGGATCAAGTTAGGAAAGCTGAAGCCCACATAGAGGTAAATCTGGCCAAGGGCATCAAGGGCAAGAAGAAAGCCTTCTATAGGTATATCCGTGACAAAAGGAAGACTAGGGAAAATGTGGGCCCACTCAGGAAGGAAATGGGAAACCTGGTCACTCAGGACATGGAGAAGGCTGAGGTACTCAATGACACCTTTGCCTCAGTCTTCACTGATAAGGACTCTAACCACACCACTCAAGTTGCAGAAAGTAAAGGCAGGGACTGGAAGAATGAGTTACCGCCCACGGTAGGACAATACCAGGTTCGAGACCGGCTGAGGAAACTGAAGGTGCACAAGTCAATGGGACCTGATGAGATTCATCCATGGGTCCTGAAGAAACTGACAGATGACCAGTGAAGGTCCTGCTGACAGGAAAAGGGGAAACATAACACCCATTTTCAAAAAAAAGGAAAAAAAGAAGACCTGGGGGACTACATGCTGGTCAGTCTCACCTCTGTACCTGGCAAGGTCATGGAGCAGATCCTCCTGGAAACTCTGCTCAGGCACATGGAAAATAGGGAGGTGATTGGTGACAGCCAACATGGCTTCACCAAGGGCAAGTCATGCCTGACAAATTTGGTGGCCTTCTATGACAGTGTTACAGCATTGGTGGATAAGGGGAGAGCAACAGATATCATCTATGTGGACTTGTGCAAAGCATTTGACACTATCTCACACAATATGCTGGTCTCTAAATTGGAGAGACATGGATTCAACAGATGGACCGCTCAGTGGAAGGAATTGGCTGGACGGTTGCACTGAAAGAGTTGTGGTCAAGGGCTTGATGTCCAATGGGTGACCAGTGACAAGTGGTGTTCCTCAGGGATCAGTACTGGGATCTGTACAGTTCAACATCTTTGTTGGTGACAGGGACAGTGGGATCAAGTGCACCCTCAGCAATTTGCCGATGATACCAAGCTGTGTGATGACATGCTGGAGGGGAGGGATGCCATCCAGAGGGAGCTGGACAGGCTGGAGCGGTGGGACCATGCCAACCTCATGAAATTCAACCAGGCCAAGTACTAGGTCCTGCATGTGGGTCAGGGCAATCCCAAGCACAAATATAGGCTTGGGGGAGAATGGATTGAGAGCAGCCCTGAGGAGAAGGACCTGGCGGGGGGGATTGATGAGAAGGTCAACATGAGCCGGCAACGTGCACTCACAGCCCAGAAGGCCAACCGTATCCTGGGCTGCATCAGAAGAAGATTGGCCAGGAGGTCAAGGGAGGCGATTCTTCCCCTCTATTCTACTCTAGTGAGACCCCACCTGGAGTACTGCATCCAGCTCTGGAGCCTCCAACATAGGAAAGATATGGAGCTGTTGGAGAGGGTCCAGAGGAGGGCTGCAAAAATGATCAGAGGGCTGGAGCCGTTCTCCTGTGAAGCCAGGCTGGAGAGTTGGGATTATCCAGCCTGGAGAAGACAAGGCTCCGGGGAGACCTTATAGCAGCCTTCCAGTACCTAAAGGGGGCCTACAGGAGAGCTGGGGAAGGACTTTTTACCAGGGCATGTAGTGATAAGATGAGGGGAATGGCTTCAAACTGGAAGAGGGTAGATTTAGATTAGCTATCTGGAAGAAATGTTTCACTTTGAGTGTGGTAAGGCACTGGAACAGGTTGCCCAGAGGAGCTGTGGAAGCTGCACCCCTGGGTGTGTTTAAGGCCAGGCTGGATGGGGCTTTGAGCAATGTGATGTAGTGGGAGGTGTCCCTGCCCATGGCAGGGGAGTTGGAATTAGATGATCTTTAAGGTCGCTTTCAACCTAAACCATTCTATGATTCTATGATAGGTATTGAGACAATGAAAAACATATCCTTCACATCCATTGTTGCCATTCATGGGAAGGCTTCTTTGTTAAGAAAAATGGACGTTATCACTTACACTGGGAACAGCTGTAGTGAGCATTTCAGTGGAAATTTTCAGTGGCTCTGTAATCTGTTAGTCACCACTTGCCATTAGGTTTTTTTTTCCTGGCAATAGAGGAGAATTGCAGGGGGAATGAGACTTGACAATGATTCTCCATTCTTCCTGCTCCTTTATCAATTCAGTAACAGCATGAACAGCATCAGAAGGCAACTTGTATTGTGGAATAGAAACTAGCTTGCTATGGGATAAAAGAGCAGCTGTTTGCAGCAGATTAACAGTCAGGGATGCATTTGCAGGAGATAAACTGTGGGGCAGAGAGGATGGAGTCCCTATTTCCCATTTTCCCCACGAGTCCATTCACAACAACTGAGCCCTCAATACATCCCTACCTAATATATTATCAAAGCCTAAAAGTAAGGTCAGGCATATTGTCTGTCCATTAGACAGCATTAGTTTACCCCTGACAAATGGGTGGGTAGTGATTCTCCCATTAAGCCTACAACAGAAATTAACTGCTTGCTAAGCAGGGACTGTCTTTTATAAGTGTCCTTATCTACCATTACTATTTGGACCTCCTGTGTCAATGAGGACTGTTGTAAGGTAGCAATTGTTAACTGTGACCATCACCTTGGGATCCTTAGCAGTGGGTGTAGAGGCCACCACTGAAACCAGCCCTTCCCCTAGTTTTGAGCAGCTCCCAAGCCTGTTGACAGCTGTCAAGGTGTGCGGATTTTCCAGTGAGATTTATGCCATTGATTATATAGAAGGGTATTGTCCATGGTGAGCAATTTGTGTACACTTCACTAATATTAATGTGGTCCCAATGAATGTTAAGGAGACAGCTACACAGCCTATTGGCAACTTTGGCTGTTTTTCATGGAGTCTCAATTCCAGTGCCAATTAAGGTTAGGGGGAGGTAAAACCAGAACGCAGGAACATCTCTGTCCTTTTGGCTCTTGCAGGAAAAATAAGCAAGCCCAGAATGACCAGCTAACTGAGCAGAAAGGTATAGAGAGCAGCCCCAGTGGAACTGGTACATGAAGAGAACAAGCCTTAGCAAGATGTTTCATTCCCCAAGTAGAGCTTTCAGTGAGGTTCCACTGGGGAACGTTCAGTCATAATGTTGGGGGTGGGAGTGGGGGTGATGGGGAGCATTTGTGTTGCTGCCTGCTGTTTCCTACAGTAGGAGTACACTGCCTGTACGATACAGCACACTCTGTCAGCTGTTTTAGTCAGTTTCTTCCAAGACCCTGCTAGTTGAGAGGCACTACAAATATGAACTATTTTGTCCCGAGTGACATTGCCTGCCTCTGTCCTCCATATCATAGCCTATGGATGTACCCAGAGAAACGTTGCACAAAGAAGGCGTTCCTGAAAGTCTTTATTTTTTGATCTTTTTTGTATGTCCAGTCCCCAAACCAAAGAAAATGGTGAGGAGAAGAACCAGGTCACATAGAATGAGAGCGTCTCAGTTGGCAGACATAGTGTCTCGGATCCAGGAGACATAGTTGCAAACCTTAGTGTAAACCCCGGGATAGCCTCTCTGCGCACATCCAATACCCCAGGAAACAATGCCCTGGAGCTGCCCGTTGCAGACCACTGGACCACCGGAATCTCCCTGTGCACACAAAGGATACGGATATTCAGCAAACAATATCAGCGTTAAGTGCTGAGCCAGAGATCCCAGAAATCACTGACATTCGAAGAAGCTCCACTGAGCTTTTTCCACTCAGAAGTTCTACAAAGGTCATCTCTGATTACTACTCTACAACTTGTGCTACGGTGCCTTACTTTAGCATGAGGGCACTCCAGCTAAGGATGCAGACCCTTAATTCTTAAAGATAATACTGTATCATGCCTAAACCACGACAGGGTGGAATAACTCTAGCCTGACTCAATAAGCAACTTTAAGCCTGGGTCTCCACTGTTGTTGAAAAACACAACATTCAGACTTGTCGGTGCAGTGAGCATAGTGGATTCTCCGGTGTGGCACCCCTCCATTATCGGTCGCCTAATGTGCAAGAGGTGGCATAGTCTGCTTGTGGAGGTTTAGGGCAGAGGTCATGGCAGTCTCAAAAAAGGGACAATGGCTAACTGGGTGGAAAAAACCCTAGCTTCACTCAATATGCAGCTTTCACCCTAGATCTCCGCTGTTGTTGAAAAATACAACATTCAGACTTGGCAGTGCAGTGAGTATTGCTGATTCTGTGATATGATGGCCTCTTCTACTAGCAAAAGGCGTGAGAGAAACATATGGGAAAGGAGAGGCAGATGTTTTACCTGGCAGGAGTCTTTCCCTCCCTCCATGAATCCTACGCACATCATGTTCTTGGTAATTTGCCGAGGGTAGGCGCTGGAGCACTCGCTTGAGGAGAGTACGGGAGCCTTCAGGCACTGCAAGGTGTCTGGATACAGATCTACAAGAAAATAGAGAGAGGTGGTTGATGACATCTCTGAGTTCATTTCAGAGCCCACAGGAGATCTTTCTGAGCAGGAAAGTAATCCCTGAACAGCCTCTTTCAGTGGTCGCCATTTTTGCTCTGAACAGTAATCACAGAATGGGTTCCTTTTGTTTAGACAGAACTGCAGCCACGTTAACTTTTCTGGTACCTAGAAAATCATCAGGTGGCCAGTGTGGAGGTAAGAGCCACTCTTGTAGGCCATGTGCTGGCGGAAACCTGGGCCTCAGGAAAAGCATCCTCTCCTCTGGTGCAGGTTTAGATATTGTCAGTGGATTAGACACCAGTCACCATCTATGACCACTGGTGTCATAGAATGCAGCTCTCTTATAGTAATTTTAGTTCCACGATCATAGGTTTTGATCTTGTTGTGCCAGGCCACAATATTTATGGCAGTGTAAACGCGCGGGTGAATAGCATATGGGTGACTTAAGTGATTTCATGTTCGTAACACAGAAGGAGAGGAAGGACCTTAAAATAATTGCCTTTGGAGTGGTTAAATCGTTACTGTCTTAAACAGACTGATCACTCCAAAAGGCCTGTGCCACAGCACTTCTCTGCGCTTTCCCCTGTAGTGTGTGGAGTAAATTGTGAGGTCTTAGAGTGTCTCCCGATCCCTCGTGATGCTGTACATTCGCAGAGAGTACTCACTGCCATTGCTGAGTGTGTTGCCCCAGCCTGAGATTAGGCATGTGGTGCCTGTGGCCACACAGCTGGTAGGCAGAGGAACCGTTTGGACAGCTCGGTTGAGCTGGGCTGGTACGTCAAGCTTGATGAGCATGATGTCATTGTCCAGTGTCATGGAGCTGTAGCCAGGGTGGCGGATGACTTTAGCTGAATTAATGAACTGCTCTGTCGATTCTGTGAGTTCCAGGTTATGTTTCCCCAGCTGCACTTGGATGCGACTGGAAAAGAGAAGGAATGGCATACACTTTATTGTTACTGATGATCAGGAGGAACCTCCTCGTCACCGTATGCCCTCGCTTCAACATCGCTGTTGCACTAGCTGTTATCTT